TAGGGGAGCGGGGAGTTAGAAAACGGAAGGGGAGGGGGTTGGGGGGAGGGGAAAGAATTAACGAGAGTGCTATCGTTTTTCCCCTCCTCCATCTTCCGTCCTCCCCTTCCACATCCTCCCTCCCCCTTCCCCTTCCCCTCCCCTAGACCTTAATGAATTTGTTAAGTAATTTACAACACTGTTATACAACAAAAGCACACAAGTTCACTTTAACCTAGCCTGCGTTACATCCCGGAAATTTCACAAATATATCGAAGAATATTCCGGATGTAACGCAGGCTACTTTAACCTGTCCCGTGTGCGATTTCTATTTGTAGTTTCTTTGGAAAGTACGAACTCCCAAGTTTTAAAGTTCCGACCATTAGTAGGCTTGAAGTTTTAGTCGTTCATACAATAGGAAAAAAGGAGAGGTAAGCCTGTTATTAGTCTCCTCTTGCAGCCGTTAGGACGTTCGTTCCCAGGTCACTCGAATGACCTGGGAACGAACGTCCTAACGGCTGCGAGAGGAGACTAGCCTGTTATCTATAACATGAGTTCACATCTATTTCAGCTTTTGAAAATAATTCTGAAGGATCTGACAATTTTCTTATGTTATCCAATTTTATTTTGCAGAGAAAAATGTGACACTGAATCTATAAAAATTTTGATGAAAGATGCAAAATTACGTGGTTTGAAGGTTGTGTGCTATGACGACCCTGAGTAGGTGTATTTTCACCAATCATTTTATTATATCTTTACATAAGCGTACGAAATATCTTGGGTTAGCTCAGGCTATACGGTTTCTCAACCAATGATCGTGTGTTATTCAGCGAGTATTGTAAGACAGTTATCAGATAAAAATAAGACAAATGTTTGCCAAATTTGAATTAATTAACGTACATGACATTATCAGCTATTAGTTCATTCTGTTTATTCTTGCCAGTGATGTCCGACACATTCTGTGCACTGATCATCCAAATGCGGAACAATGCAGGTTTAAAGGTCTACTTGGTGACGGACAAGATTATAGGTAACCAATTCATGTCTTTCCTTTGTTCTTAAGCTGCTGGCCTCTCACCGCTGTGGTTCGGGTCGATTCTCAGGAAAATCCTCCTTTGCACGGACCATATGTGAGTTTGAGTTTGTTACAATGAATGAGTTTCCAGT